AACCTTTTTTTTTCAGCTATCCTCTTTCACAAAAAACACTCAAAAAAACAACAGAAAAACAGAAACATTGCTTTGCCACTTTTTTAGTATAATACTTAGCTACCTACTTTTGTCAGGTTACATGTGGATACCAGTGTTATCACATCAAATGCTTTGCTTTACATTATGTTGTGCTGCAGGCAAATCTGTAATATTTTGAGCTAAATTTGTTATAGAACTGGATCACATTTTATTGTATTTCTTCTCTATTTCTCTGTATCTAATCCACCATTTTCTGCCGGTATTGGCCTGATACCAATACTGGGTATCAGATTGGTGCCATTTTTTTTTCTGTTCAACAGAGCCCCTAACCCATTTGAAATGTGAAACCCTTGGAGGTATAACACTCTGACACTGCACAGGAGTCTCCAAGGCTTCTTTGCTGCAGTTGATAAATTCCATTGACATCCCTTGCTCATAAACATATGATAGGGCACAGCAGAGAGACTAGACCCACACACATGAACTCTAGCGACGAGATGACATTGCCAAAGCTTCGGCCCCAGTGGAAGAGACCGTCTCCCTCACAGACATGTCCTGTTTTCACCCTAATGAGTGTGGAAAAGAAAAGGCATTCCTGGAAGCCCAATCCTGCCTTGCGTGTCTGTGAGAGAGAGGATGAAAGCTTGTGGTATGATTGCAGAGAAGATTTACTCTGCAGGAACGTGAGCGCAGGGGAGGTATGTGAAAAGGAGGTTGGCCACATAACACCCGGGTGGCACTCTTTAAACCAACAGGAGTTTTATACATTAGCTGTGCTGGAGCTGCTGTGATATATGAGCCTTAGTGTTTGTCTGCGTGTGTGTGTGTGGCAATTCGGTCTGGTTCAGTGTCTTGCCCCACACACAGACCCATAGTGATGACAGCCGGCCTTCCAGCGTGCCGCAGAGCAACAGCAGTTGTGAAGTTGCGAAGCCAACAGACTGTCTAATAGAGCGTGCCTTCCACTCAGAGCCCTTCAAAATACATCATAGCTTCATAGCTCAGAGTTATGAGCCTTGGCTCCTGTACCGTCAAAACTAGGGCCAAACCAATATGAAACTTTTGTGACCAATACTGATCGCAGCCTCTTCCTGCAGGCCCCCTAGTGGCCATTCGATTGGCTGAATTGAAATTGACTCCATATTTTCAATCACTGTAATTGGATAAAATATGTTTCCCTATAGCTCTGTTTTTAAGTTAACTAGGACACTGTTTGCTCTGTGTGTGAAAATTTATGACTCTGACTCTCTGACTGCTGGCGAGCAATGATGGGTGAAAGGGGAGGGGTGAGGACCCCCTGTTGTAGAAACAATTCATATTTCTCCAGCCAGAGATATCTGTTGTATTTGTCGGTTGTCTTATGTGCTCAAATTCGATCCTAAAGAAAGATTTTTCCCTGTTAAAAATCAGTGCTTTAATTGAAGCTGTATCATATCAACTTCTCCACGATTGTAGCATCTCACTCTCGTTCTTGTTCTTACAGCTTGTGTATTCTTGTTACAGTTAAGGCTCTTGAGTGTAACTGTATAGTTCCACTTTGTCATTGCTTTTGTTAGTTTCCTGTTCATTGATTTGTCTTTAGGTCTTTCTTGAGCGTGGTCTGCTGAAGATGCCAAAGCTATTGCTTTCAAAGCTGTAATTGAATGAGTGCTACAATTGTATATATTATGATAGCAACATACAGCATGTGAGCAGCTACAATTACGGATTGACAATTACGGATGGTTCAGAGGATCAAACTAGGAAAATGCCTTAACAGCATTGGAAAAATTGTGTGGCATTAATGATTTATCGCAATAATATATAATTAATTTGTTAATTTTGACCTGTCCTGATTAAAATTACAATAGAATTAATCCAGGCCAGCAAAGCCGGCCCCAATACTTTTATTTAAACTGTGCTTTACTGATATGATTGTGACCTAACACCTGTGAATTGCCACATATGATGAGATTAGGCTTGTTATTTGAACCATGTGATGTGATTGAAACAAGCAAATGAAGACTATCACTTTAACACTTTCTACAGAAACAGGCAAGTGAGCAAGAACTTGTTAACTTCTCTAAAGTGGGTAGTTATGTGATGTTTTTCTTTATATTAGAGATGCATTAGAATGTAAGTTGAGCTATTAATTATTGTTTTTTTATTAGCCCAAATTTTCCTGACACAAATAAGACGTGTAATGAACATTGGCTGACATTATCAGCAAACTGATATATCACTAGGGCTCTAGTCAAAGCTGTGCAAAACTGCAGGCTGTAAATATTATCTCTCTCTAATATGGATATGTGCATCTTTTTTTTAGTATGAGAAATTCCAAGTGATTTTCTGCCCAAGATTATCATCCGGAGTATGATCGTCATAATATCTCGACCATACCGAGTCACAGAGTAGAGCAGCTTATCCTCAGGACATTTTATTGGTTCAGCTTTGATGAAGTGTGCGGGACTCTGTAAACTTGGCTCAGAATTTGATGATAAGCACATGTAATCCAAATTCGATGTAGTCTCATCGCTCCCTCTCTCACTCAGCGCCGGATGTTTGCCTGTTGCGGCCTCAGTTTGAAACAATGGCACACATGTGTCAGCTCTTAAGAGTGAATGGAGCAAAGCTGTGTACCCTGATTGATTTGATCTTTGATAAACTTTCCCAAAATGAAACAGGGATTTGATGACATGGATCAAAGGAGGTGACGGCACAGATGGATAGAAAAAAAGCATACACGAAAACAAAGACTTACGCTCTACAGTCCCATATCATCTGCTCAACGACATGCGTGTGTTCTCATCATGCTCTTTTTAGAATTTTATTTATTTCATTCAATTATTGAAACAGAATACAATGATTCACTAGCCCTCCAATTAAAATCTGTAAAACATTTGTGTTGCTTTGTGAATTCTTGAGCAAATTTTCAATTAAATATAGATCAAATAGGTTAAGTATGGCCAGTATCTGTGTAAAGATGTTAAAAGGATAAAAAAGACTGCACAGCTTTATTTTCTCTCATAATCTGTTGAATAATACTACTGGGTTGTGTGAGAGAAACTTAAAGGCTCTCGTGTAAGTGTGCATGCCATGCCATGACTGAGGTTAGTGGATGTCATGATGTTAAGCTCTACATTACCAAGAGCTCTCCGGCCATGTGTTCTGCACAGGGAACAGATGCCACTATATCCCAGACAAGCCTCACCATAAACAAATTGAACAATTCAAACCATTTCAGCATCTTGTACTGCTTTCACCAGGGCTAATTTGGTTCTGCTGTTAGCAGTTGGTATTGCCATGAATCAGAGCAAGTCTTTTCCTATAGAATTGAGATCTATAGAAGCACAAGTGCATTCTGTTGTGCCACTTTCACACAGCATCATGGATCTTTCAGCGCATGGCAAACAATAACCTCTGTGTGAAAAGAAAAAAGTGAGTCATGGCAGTCATTTGTGTGTCAATTAGCTTTCTCTGTATTTGCGCGAGCACTTCTGGGCCATTTCAGCTCCATTATTAGCAATGACCTTTACGAGCAATTTGTGTGGTGAGTCTGTTATTAAAGCAACAAATGAGGGGCCTTAGACTGGGTGTATTTTAAGTGACCATCCTGAATGCCAGGAAAAGATCTGTGTTTGCTTAGCAAATAAAAGCTGATTTTTAGCTTGGGCAATTTGTTAGCTTGCAGGCATTAAATGATCATATTGATTGATTGATATTAATAAAATATAGTAGGATAAACAATGTTTGTAAAGCAAAGCTGTCATGGATATTGTGCTGTTATGAATTAAATATTGTAAGGGTGGAATTACATAGTATGTGTTTGTTTAGAAAAATGTATTATGTTATCGTGCATTGGCAATGGTTCCCAGTCAACACTGATGTCTTTGCTTTCTGATTTATTTGATTGGTTTCATGAATAATGGACTGATTAATTGTTTACTTGATTTATTGGTTGGTTGCTTCAGATATTGATTGATTTATTGCTTGACTAATTGGCACTGATTCAAAATTTTCATGACTGATTGTGGTTCCTGTTTCTTTACAGCCAAATCAACCAACAGATGATTTTTTAGCTGATGTTTTTTAAACCCAAAGCTCACACCGTGTAGGATAAATGATACATAAAGCACCCTAACACGTTTTCAGTAAAAGTCACAATATAAATAACATTATTTGTGCTCGAATGGGCCAAGCTGGCATTTTATATTCTTAAATAAACAGTTTATCAGTAGCCTATTTAACAAACATGAATCAAATAAAGGGCTACTTTAAAAGTAAGAGGCAACTGGCTCTTTAGCACGAGTCTAGCACACTTATGCTATGACATTTTGGTAAAGCTGTTGCAGCAACATAGAAATACATGGCAAGTGCGACAAATCAGGTTATTTATTTATATATTTCATGTTTGCCAGCTGTGCATTTGGAGTGAAAATCTGCTTATTCCGATCTTGTGTGATTCCAATCGTACATTCCTACGAATTGATTGATTAATTGATTATTGATGTAAAATGATAATGAATTATTAGCCTTAAAATAAGCCATATATCACCAGTATCAAAATCCTACAAAGCCCCACTGGTGACATCCCTTTTTAATAAAATAATGCATGGCCAAGCCTTAGTAAGATGTAGGGACAGAATAATTAAGTTGTTACAGTGAAGTTGTGGCCATGACTTAGTCAGATGTGGGAACATTCTTACAATTTGCTAAGTCGTGGCCATGCATTAGAATAGAGTTCCCGTGCCTTAGTTAGTTGTGTCCATGCATTTTTTTTTCTCAGAAGGGATGTCAGCAGCAGGGCTCCGTAAAATCTTAATGATTATCTCTCTTTCTTTTTCTGCCCACACATTAGCACATGGTAACACTATGATTGCAGTCTTGGGGGGTGTATTAACCTGCTTTTCTTCTTTTCTCTTCCTCTTCCATCTCCCCTTTTCCTCTAATGTCCTGTGTGTGCGTGGCTCTCTGCTGCCCCCTGTTCTGCTCTGCTACAGTGGCTGCTCCTCTGCCTCCAAACTCCTGCTCTGGTTCTGCAACACTAGACCTGTTCCTGTCTAGTTCTGTGTGAGGAGCTCGCAAGTGAGTCTTTCACACACATACACACACACAAACACACACGCCTCTCCTCTCTGCATGCTCTCCTTCCACTTCTGTCCTTGACACTGTTGTATTCTGGGTCAATGAGGAGTCTGATTATGATTTTATATTACATTAAGAATGTGTATGTGTGTAAGAGTGAGTTAGCGGGAGTGTTTTACTTGTATGTTTCTTTGTACGAAGGCTTCTTTGTTAAGGTGCTTACACTTTTGACTCCAAAACCACTGGCTCTTCTGGTGACTCATTGTGGCCAATTTTATGCTCTGATGATCTTTAAAGATATATAATTCCCTCCCCATTCACAGCCTTTTTGTTCACCACGACCTCAGTGAATAGCAACTTGACAGGCCAAGTGTGCTTGTAAACATAGATTATAGTCTCTAGGGGAATAAGCCGGATTTCATTATCAGATACTTGATGTAGCATACACACAATCTTATGAGGGCCCATGTTCATCACAGTAAATATGTAATTAAATTAATCAAGCTAGAGTCATTGCCCTAGATGATCAGTACCGATTTCATGGGCTATGCAGCTGCATTTCCAGATGCTGTTCACTGTGTTTGCTGTTAACTGCGTTGCTATATAAACTACTGTGCAAAAGTTTTAGGCATCTCAGAAATTATATTTAATAAGCTTTTTATCTGGACAGTAAGTGTTTATTTGCTCAAAAAACACTAATATTAGAATAAGTACAAAAAACATAAATACAAAAGGGGTGATTTTATGTAGGGCAGTATGTTTGTTTAATCATTTCCAAATCTCTCCTTGTAGATATTATCCAATAATTTGTTTGGCTACATCATTCTACATTATTCTTGTATTTTATTTTTTCCCTTGACGTCCACTTATAACATTTGTGTGCTGTTACATAGCAAAAATGGTCTTAATTTTTTTTGTCACAATTTTCCAACCTCTCATTATCCTTTAGAATTAAGGCTGTTTTTGTTACTGTGCCTTAAAGACTTATATAGGATAAATTTCTATTGTAATTGCTGTATCAGATCATCTAGTTCTCAGTTTTAAAGTAGTATTTTAAAGCACTCTATTGCCACAGTGTATTGCAGTGCATTATATAAACCTTAATCCCTTAAAATCTCAAGCTTATTACATACTAAGGCTTATTAATCAATAACTACAGAAACTTTAATGCAAACAGGCTGAGTTATTCTTGCGTTATAGAAGCATGTAATAAAACGTTGGGCCTGTCAGTGGGCCCTGGCCATGTAATACACATTATGTATTCCCTTTTTAATTAAATTTTCTTTCAAAATCATGCTTTGTTACACACTCAGATGTGGTGGGTCTCAGCGCTCTCTCCTAGAAAGCCATATTTAGAAAAGAACACTACCACGATCATCTGTATGAGTAAACTGCATTATTATGGCATCAAGCAATCGTCAGTGATCTCTCAAAAACGATTATTCCATTACATCTTTCAATACTAGAACTACTGGTCTCACCAGACAAAATGTTCTATTGAGGAGATGGCAATTAAGTGTAGGTTTGTGAGAAAATTACTGTCCAGCATTCAGTCTCAATGATCTCTTCACTGTGGACAAAAAAGATTGCTTTGTTCAGTGTACCGTACACACATACCCACTACCGTGGACCTCCCACCGCTGCATGCCACCCACTATAGACTTTGAAGCCCAGTCACTCATCCTATTGTCTGTGCCAAGATATAAATTGCTTCTAAAAACTATGAAGTGCTCCAGGACTTGAGTCCTTGTTCATTTGAGTCAGTGCAATCACACTCAATCAATCGTCACTTTGCCCATGATAGTGGAAACAAAGAGACTGAACTTACTGAGAGCAGCTCAGATCGCTGCTAAATTTAGCAGTGCAGATGTCATATTGGAGGCTGTATGTGTGCATGGGCTCGGGCATTGACATTGCCGTGCTATCTGGGGACACTTGTGATGTGAGGTAGGGCGAGTGCGAGGGGTGGTGGGTTCGGAACTGACAACATCACTGACTTTCAGCGAGAGCCGCTCTATCGATTGCAATCAGTGCTTGACAAGAAACGCCTGGTCTATATCAAAGCCTAAGCTAAAGTTAAGAAAGAATGACACTCTCATTCGCCACTGACCATTCCTTTGTTTGTACTGTGATGGTCCAGCCACTACTGGTATCTGTGGACTAAAGCTCACCAAAGCTCATTCATTTTGTGCTCATATATCCAATAATGTGTGTAGCCTGTTCAATTTTACTTAATTTACATAGCACCTTTCATACATAATCATGCAGCTCATATTCTGGGGCCTCCCAGAAAATTTAACTCAAGACATCTCAAGCAGAAATTATGATATTTCCGATTTTTGGATAAATTGCACTCTATAACAAGTCTTCTCTTAAACTGTAATCATAAAAATGTCAAAACTGAACAGGAACATTTATTTCAGTGTGTTTAGATCAGCTCACTTCCACTTCCACGTGCATCTAACTGTATTTTCCAAGGTCAGCAACTTTAATGAAGGCTTAGCTTCACCACACTTGAGACGACCATGTTGTGTCATATAATACAGATGCCTGGTTAATCTAAACAGAATATCCAAGTCTCTTTCATAAGTACTAATGACAGCATTCACACAAATGGTGTATGCTTTATTCTGCTGATTCTTGAAATTTTTTCTCTACATTCAGAACCAAACACCTGAGTGCCTAGAATTTCTGCATTCATAAAATTTATACACATTACATCGCTAATCCTGTTCCTAATCCTATTCCGAAGGATATTACACAAGGATTTCTCAATATAGTACTAGCTAGAGTGAATGAAAGATTATATGCTACAAAATGACCCTGCTCATCTTTAGTGTCTCACTTTAAATAAACCAGCAAAACAGTGTAAATAAAACAAAAAATAGCATAAATAACATGAATGTTTAATAGAAAGAAGGTAAAAAAAAACATAATAAAAAAGCATAAAATCAGGAAAGCATTATAATTGAAAAAAGGGAAATAAACATAAAAAGTGGTAATAAAATACAAAAATATAGAATTCTGAAAACAAAAACAAATAAGGAATAATATAAAAGGAACAACTAAAGTGTAACACAAATTTTGCACAAATCAATGCAAAACTAAAGCCTAACCAAAAGCATATACATTTCAGATTTTGAGGAAGGAAATGAATGATTTGATTTTCCTGGATGATTTTCCTCCACTTTTCAAGAAGTGTGCTCTAGATATTTTTTTCTTGTTACATAAGGAAGTACACTTTGGTTGGATCTGCTTCTGTAGTGAAGAATTACTTTAAACCTAAACCAGTAGAATGAAGCAGTTGCTTTCAGGAAAACCTTGAAGGAGCCTTGAGCTTCAAATATGTACGTTTGACATTTGTTCAGCTATTCTAGCATTCCTAGTGTGCTATTTGAAGTGGCGCTCCATTAATTTTTTTTCCATGCGATGCTTGGTAGCTGCTTTGTAAGATAATTGCATTTGTCTTGTGTAAATATACACAGAAGTTAAATGAACATCATTTGATCTTTTATTGTTTCATTTATTTTCATATTATTTCAGTCAGCGTATAAACTAAATTTGTTCAGTTGCATGTCTACAGAATGCTGGGTTGCATACAGACTCAACTAAGAAATGGAGTGGGTGTACACCGAGTTCAAAAGGATAATTCTGTCTGCTTCTCTTTATCCTGATGCTTCATTCTCTAAGCAGGGGCACAAGCAGCTTTCATTTTGTTTTGATTTGTTTGAAGAGACTGAATAATATGGTGTTGCATTTATAATCTGTCTTTTTCTCCTTGACTGCTCCTCCACGTATGGCATGCCCAAGGGGCAGGAAAACCCAGCAAAGGCCCATGAAGAAGTCGAAATGTGTGGTGCAGATAGCAGCGCCATTTACAGAGCTATAAGCATCTTGGTTGTCATAGCTCTTTGAATGGTACTGCCATATGTACTGAACTACCACCAAAATGGCCCTCATTAATAAAGTTTACTGCTCTGCTCTCTGTTTTAATGTATGCAAAAGGCTTGTTTGTATTTGTTCAAGTTGGTATGTACACTGCAGGGTAAGTATTACCCTGCACAGTATGGACATAAAATGCAATGTGTAATAAGGTAGTTGGATATTGCAATGACGATATAACAAGCGATAAACTAAAATATACAGTTGCAATATGTTTCAGACTGGAAGAGCAGCATATACAGACCCAGAGGTTTATTCAGCTGTAGATAACACTAATGATGATATTGTCCATTTCAAAATACATTATCCTACTGTTAGTGTACTAAAAATGCATCGCTGTAACCTCTTCTTTAAAATAACAGAATTACAAAATCACAATTCACGATTGTGCAAAGCACACAACAGAAATGAAATATTTATAGCTACTTAAAGGACAACTACAAGCATAAGGCTATTAGAAAAATAGTGAGCATTCCCTGAACAGTTTGTTCTATATAGAGGCCTCCTGTGACCGTAGCCACCACTGTTCAACATATTTACATTTAACACTTAGGGATGAGTCCATATTTTCGCAGATTGGAATAGTCATGATAGTTGTAAAAAAACAAATAGTAAATTAGGATTTTAGTATCCAAATTAAATGTTATGAATTCTAATTCTCAAGACCCATAAAATTCTCCACCAGAAGGCAATTAGTGTGTATCTGGATTTTTTTAGTTAAGCACATCACAGATCTAATATCAGGAAAAGCTCCTAATGTTATATTCCTGCTAATATAATTGTGTCACTTTGGTGCTATATGTAATGTAATTTGATCTGTTATGTTATTGTAGTCTTAAATGGTATGCTAAACTCATATCGCGATGACGATGAAAATACATGATTAATTGTGCGTTACTATGGTATGGTAATACTTTCACTTGAACCATTTTCAGACTTACGGAGCAGAAGTCTCCTTCCTTAATGATAAAGTTTACTCTTGCCCCTCTGAGCAAACAAAAGAGTGGCTGAGAGCAATGTATCAATGAAAGGAATGGTGGGATCACTTGCAGCAAGCA